CCGGAGTTCATTTAATCAGCGAAGCGCATACATGACATGGTGCGCCGTAGCCCAAACTCACAAGCAGAGGGCTGGTGCAAACGTACCGCTGGAGTGCCAAAGTGGTACTGTCTGGAGTTCGAAAGCCCGCACACAACCGGACAGAATACGACCTACACCTGGACTATGTGCGACTTGGGACGAACTGTTCTGCGCCGCTACCTAAGATGGGCTGATCATCATTAGACTGATACAAACTAAGGGCATTTGTACTGCATAGCAATGTATTGTGTGCTTCGAATAAGCATGTGAAGGTCAGCTTCACAGGCCGCGGTCCATCATGTCGAAGGTTATGACTAATCAAACCACACACTCGTGATTGTGATCCACCGATACGCACATCCACGCCCATCAGATCAGCAATACATAAGCGCCGGTAGCCTTCACGCCGACCCTGCACGCAGCGGCTCCCAGACACTGGGCCGCCCGGGGCCCGTTGTCGCAGCCTGCATCGTCGACCGGCGATGAATGACGTGCGGCACGTGGGTGGGTCCGAGCGTCGCCCCCGCCCCGCCCGGCCAGCCAAGGTGACCTCCGCTCCGTCCGGGGGGCGGTGGCAGCGGTAGCCGCTGAAGCGTGCGCCGGCGCCGCTCGTGACGGTCCGCAGCAGGGGCGGGAAGCCGACCAACGGCACGGGCCGTCGGCACGACATCACACGGGCCGACGCCGACCCGGGTACCGAAGATCGCCGGAGGTTGCCGAAGGCCGCCGAAGGCCGCCGAAGGCCACCGAAGGCCGGCTATAAGATGAGGCTCAGCATAGTAAATGCAACCTCCTCCTCAGCCAGATTGCAGAACAGACTGCGTTTCGTTGCGCCCACCATGTGGTTATGTGGTCAAACTGAATTCCCAATAAACGGTTCTAACTTGCATGATTGGCCACCAGCACTTAAGATATTCAAGGGGACCATGAACGAGAGAAATTTCTGGAGCGTTGGGCTCGTTTGATCTGAAAAAAACATCGCCGGCATGATTTACTGATGGCGACAATGGATGCATCGCCAAAAAAATAGGGCGCCCAGTGAGGCACGCAATTACACGCGCACCCGCGTGGGCGCTAACAGGAAAAACGCATTTACATATGTTCTGCGCTGTGACCATGCAAAAATAGCTGCCGGCCGTCAAAAACTGCTTGGATTGTGCTGCGAAGCAAACCGCCAAGATAAGTGTCACTTCATACCAGGTAAATCGGTACTCAAATGGGACGGTGTCTTGGAATGCTGCTCTCGACATGCACAGTAAGCACATACACGGCAGCGTGCACCTTTAATAGCCGCACTGACGGCGGTCTGCGCCAGATCCGTCCCGCCCCGGAGGGGGAGCAGTGTGTATGGTAAGAATAACCAATTCGACCACTCCCTGGCATGTTCGTGTCACAACGAACTAGAGACGAACGAAGCGTCGTTTGGCAGTTCATGCAAAGCTTTACAAGATTTATGGAGGTCATTTTGGCGTCTGGGATCAGCGTCATGGTCGCATCAGGCCTGAGGTATATGGTCCTGCTTTGTTGGGATTTCTCCAAAGAACTTCTCTCGACCTCCGCTGTGCGTGGATACATCCGTCTTATATGTCATGCGGCCGGCATGTTCACGACCCGCATCAGTCAAGGGTGTTCCACCCATCAACATAGGACATCTGGATCATTCGTCCTTTTCCCGGCAGTTGTTGCCCTGATAGGTTGGCGAGTAGCTGTAATACGAGTAGGGGATCACCAAGCCGCATGAAACGTTAATCCCCTGTTCCTATTGGCGCTACCCGTCACCCTGTACAGAATACGGTACAGCCATCAGGAAGACCTCCAAGAATGCCGCACACCATCCGCCAGCGGGCTCTCCGAGAACTCGATCAACACAACTGTTGCCTCAATGGAACGATAGGTGGCTTTGCCAACCAGTATGTTCCCATTTGACTGACAGCAGCCATGGATGGTGTCAGAACCGATCTGCACAAAACCTTGTGTTTCAACATGAAAGCCGCCGAGTAAAATTAGTGCGGTGGCCCACGATGACGGTGCTACCTGGGCCAAGAGCCTTAAGTCAAGCTCAGTCAGTGGCGTATGATGACCGCGACATGTCATCAGAAGATCAGAAAGTGGCATACTTAATAAACAGATCGTGGAGGTAGGACCACGATAAACACATTGCCGCAAAGGCCCGGTGCGCCTCATGTTTATCCATGCCGACACATTGTGGTCCGACATGCATAGACTAAAACAGCCCTAATCACTGATGACAGCATATGGACTTACCAAAGTCAGTGCACGTGAAATTTATGTATGAGAAGAGACTGAAAGTCCGGCAAGCCCGCTAAGCCGCTCTCCAGTTTTTCTCAAAAAGAACATGAGAGGGCGGGAGGATGCTTGACTGTTCCTCTCCCCCCAGCGCGGGGGTCGAACGGCCATCGCTGGGAAAGCGCGGAAACGGTAATGACGCGTGCCATTTTTGTTTTAACATTCCAATTTTCAACCTTCAAAATCAAACAAAGTCCAAAACATGTAAACATATGCATATATCACGCAGTTGACTTTCACCAATATGTGAAACCAATTACGAATGGGACACTGACCTGAGTCATCACGTCATACCAATTCATTCTCGAATGCTGCTGATTTTGATATACGTCTTCGGATTTTGTTAAATTTCCACGCTTGGCATTCGATTAGTCACGTTATAAGATGCCTTTCGCATGACGATGTCTGCGGTATTTACTTTTTAACACGCGCCCGGGGGGCCAGTTGGACACCCCTCGCTCGGGTGGGGGATCAATTTGACCCCCTCGAGACCTCGGGAACTAAGAAAGCTAGAGATACCAAATTTATAGGGTGTGTTGACCTGTATGTGAACTCACTAAGGTCAAATCTTGAGGCTCTTAAGTCACGACTTTCGGGGCAAATAGTGTCAACAAAAGTCAAACTCCCGGTTGGTCTCCAAAGTGCCCCCAGAACCTAGATAACTGTTTCTAAGCAAAAGGTCACATGGTCATTTAAGGTCAGTGACCTTTTTTGACCTCTTAAAGGTCATGGTGACCAAAATCATACAAGATTGCTTTGAGTTTTGCATTGGAATAAGCGACAAAGATTACACCAGGCAGTATGTTCCTAAAAAAAATGTTGACCTGGGTCAGTTTAGGTTAATTCCCTATTCTGACCTCCAACAAGTCCGTGGAAGATGTATACTGCGGTTCCTCCTATCAATAAATTCAAAATAAGCACCAGAAACTATCCCGTACAGCAAGCCCTAAAGTAATAAAACAGATTGGTTTTGACCTGGGTCTGGCCTTCATATCTGAGCTCAGGTCAACGTTATTTGCTCATTCAATTGTTGTGTCGCTTAAGAAAGCATCTCATAGATGTACGGCTTCGTTTAACACTCCGTTGTTCGATCAGACTGAACGATTCCCTAGAAACTGATTCGCTGAAATCATGGTCCGACTTTGACCTACCATAGGTCAGCGACCTTACACGGTACATCTAAATTTTTGATTCCAGACGATGCGCTATTCAATTTTCTACGGCTATGCAAAATTTGGCGACGCTATGCCGCGCCGATCGGAAACCATTCGGGAAAAACCTCCGGGGGGTCCATTTGACCCCTCTCACCCGAGCGCGTGTTAAAGCCAGCATCCAGTGAAAAACTTGCCAATCATGCATATTGCCATGCACTGCACACACTGTTCACATGGCGTGAGGTGTGGTCTGCTATACAATGTATGCAAGGACTGCCGCAGGAGATACCGATCACCAAAGTCACGTTGACATTCCTCGGGCAGTCTGCGTCCCCAGCTACCGACCGCCATTCACGACGTGCGGTGAACCAGTCACTTTCACGCCCCCCAGGGATGTGTGGGTAGCCGCAACTGGCTGGGCCGACGTACTGCAGCGCACGCCACACGACCTCCCACTGACCCCACAAGGGCAAACCAGTCTCACCGCTCAGGCCCATCAGCCAGACACGGAAGTGGCCAATGACCACTGGTTAGCACAAACCAGCATGCGGAGCTATTGAGTTCTTATTTGAGAGCGACCCAAATGAAAGGTTTAAGTGTTGGAACACTGCTCCCACCGACTTATTATTAACAGGCCTGTCGGATATCGCAGCATATGGGCGAATTACTCTGGTAATCAAAATCAGTGAGCACGTTCGTAAGGGACTGTTGTTCCGTCGGGCAGCCTCGGCTTGGAGATCTCACACCCCAAAAGGCAGCTGTGAGGACGCGGGCAAGAGAGTTTCTCATCTGAAGTACCAGCGACGATCACACCTCAGTTAGTGTGTCTCGACGAAAAATACGTTGCGAACGTTAGTGTGGATTAGGGCGCATAACCTACTGGGCTCAAACGAACATTGCGAACGCTTCTTCCCACATACGCCCCAGCTGGTCTCACGCGCAGGTTTCATCACACACACACATATGACCTCCCGCACCGCACAGACCACTAAACTGATTTGCCCCGAGCCAGCATCGTAAAGCACTTCGACGCTCGGCCCGAGCACAGCCCAGTTGCGTTCATGAGCCCGTCAGCGCGGCGTCGGCCGCCATTGGCCTCCAAACGTCGTATCCCGGCGCCGTAACATCCCTGTAATTGGCTGCGGGAGCGGGGCGGCGCGCACGGTGGTCGAGCACGCGCGCCCCGGTCAAGGGCACGCGCGCCGCGGCCGTCGGCGGGGCGCCGCTCGGCGGAGGGGCGTGAGAGCCCCGGCCGGCGGCGGCGCGGGTCACGGCCCGTCGGCGCGGCGCTGTGACCGCTAGCTGCCGACCCAGGCTCGTGCGCGCCGACCGTTGCCGTCCGTTTGGCCGCGGCTGGCGCCCGTCAACCCGTCTCCGTCTCCCAGCGGCGCCTTTCTCCCGCGGCTCCCCGGACGCATTACGTCACATGCCACACGAGGGGTCAACCGGCGGCTGCGGCGCGCCGGCTCCCTGACGTCACCAGTGACGAGTGGGAGACCTCGGCGCGGCGCGGCTTACCTGTCTGCGTGCTTCTGAGTGATGATGTAGACGATGTGGTTCTCGGACGTGCGCAGCTTCTCCATGGTGGTGATGACCTGCTGGAGGCCCTGCGCGCGCGCCGAGGCGCCGCCCATCAGGTCCAGCACCTCGCCCAGCGCCATGCGACTGGACGGACTGCGACGGAGACAGAGAGACGACGGTCAGCTACCTGACATCCGTCCTGGACCGCAACGTTTAGAAGGAGGCCGACAGTCCGACCCCCACGGGATTCTATATTCTAACGAAATAAAAGATGACTGCTAAAGCTGAATGTCGTTTTGTACACGCAAAAACAACGCTATAGTGTAGCCTCACTTTCAGATAAAGCGCTCGTCCCTGCGATGAAAAATGTCAATATTTTCCTCACTTCTAGCCAGTGTTAGAGAACTTGACGCATAACCTGGTATAAGGTGCGAGAACCTGGTATAATGTATAACAGGAGATTTTGTACTCCAGGATTGTGACTAGGTAAAATGAAAGATTTTGTAATCCATTATGATGCAACAACAACAGCTTTTGGAAAAACTCATTTTACCGCTTTGAGTCAGGACAGAATAAAACCAGAAGGTGCAACAGCTTGAGATTTGCTGCTCCCATCAGGAGCCATGTATTGATATCTGCAAGAGCACAAATCTTGCACCCATCAGACCAAGATGCCCAATAGCAAGCAGCCTGTGTTGCCACCTAGGTATATGGTAAACCATGTATGGAAATGTGAAAAATAAGGTGTGTGAATGTTGAATGGAATCGCCTTTGAACAATACCGGGAAATGAGGGAGGAGTACGAGAATCGCACCAGTCTGTAGATTAGCAAAGCTCCCACTTCCTATATTCGCAGACCAACTCAAACTTGAACATGACTTAACAGACCATTGACGACGAACCGCATTAATTGCCAAGAATGCAACGAACAGTCATAAACCGCAGCCCAATCCCCTACCACAGACGGCCGCCTACTCACGCAACACCACTGTGTCATGGCAATGCAAATAAGAGAATCACTCACAATTCTGCGTCGGAGACGTCTCAACTATTCAGCGGCTTGCGCCCGCCTCCCAGCTCAGGTTGGAGGTTGAACATGGCAAGACTCTCCAATTGGTTTGAATGATTCGCCTGCTCGTGACTGATTTGTCAAGAGCATATATATTCTGCTCACGCTCATGCCTTGAACAGATTTGTAAACATTTGGACGGAAGCTGCATAGAGATGGGCATCACGATCATGAAGAAGGGCTTGTTTGTACTCATCCAGAATCGCTATGTGGTTGGATTTTTGGCCACTTCCTGGTACCCGGAGTACAAAAAATGTTACGGCAGCTGTGGGTTAAACGAAGTTAAATTTGTTACTTAAGGGTGTGAAATTAAAGCCGGTAATTCAGGCTTTACAAAAATCCCTTTTAAGTCTGTTCGGAGGCAGCCATCTCGCTCCGGCAAAAACACAATGACACCAGAGTAACATGAACCTCATACTTCGCAATGATATCGGCTAAAGCGCATCAAAATTCATTACTGCATTGCATTATCCGCCGGAGTCAGCGGAGTGACTGACTCCGATCCCCTTTGGCCGGCCTGCACGGGTCTGTCAGACATTGTACTTGCGCTGGTTCGGTAAATCGGTTAAGAGTGCTGCCTGTCTCTATTGTTCGGGTGGGCCGTGCAATGCCTCGTGTGTTGACCGGGAGCTGGAAGGCGGGGGGCATGAATGTTTAGCCGTTTTTAAAACCAGTTAGCTGGCGGAGCGTGAATAGCGTGACGGTGGTGGAGCGTGAGTAGCGTGATCGTCGAAGAGCATGAGTAGGTGGCCGTCTGTGGCACGTTCATTTGCACTTTTTTGTGTACCATTTTTCTCTGGCTGTGCGTATCCTACCCACCCTCCATTTTAAAGGGTGGATATGCCCGGTGTGCAGCCACCCGCCGCTTTGGAGTGTATAAGCCCAATGCGTAATTAACCTGTTTTGCGGGGTGTGTACACAAAGCCTTTCATAAATTGCAAACCTACGTATATGCACATGTGTTTCATGGTAAAGAGTATGAGAATTGTGTTGTTTCAGTGTGCCATGTTTAATACTGATGCTTCCTTTCATTTCAAGTGTTTTTACATGAACTTCTGTATGTGAAAAGTGGCACTTTCGTTGAGTCCCACCAATTGTAGAGTTTTCTTTCAAAGATAGCTTTAACAAAACTATAATGACTCGCAGCACTTGGATAACTTTGTACTGCACTATAACAAATTTGTACTACACTACAAGGATTTTTTTAGAATTTCCAACACTGCTTCTAACGTCAAGAGGCGTAACGCGCCGAACCGACCGCGCCCAGTCATGGATCAAAAATTCCCAGCATCCACACAAAATCCTGTGTCTGGTACCACACTGCGCACATCAAACCTCCATGGCACCAAATAAAATAAGACTTATGAAAATGCAAGGTGGCAGATGAAATGCAGTGTGGACTTTTTCGCACCGCAGTTTTCGCTGGTAACTTCGAAACTGTGTTTTGAGACGCACAGTTGCCAATATCTCGAGGCAATAAAGCCTGGCAACTAGGCATATGGCTCGCCCGATTATGGAGGCACGTGAGTCACGTGTCGCCATCACTACCAACAGCTTCCTGCGCCTAGACGGGTCGCACAGGCGCAACGATATTGATGGTTCACTTGATACTGTGGCTGTGTGAAACAAGATCGAGCGATGCTGGCCAGCAGTCCGGAAATCAATACGTGCAAGCTTTAGTACCAGTACGCAGCTGGTTTGGAACAAAAAAGGAGGAAAATTGTGACGCAGCGGAACCTTCCATTTGAACACTCAAGGACTGGAAGATAGTTCTTTTGTTTCATGATAGTCTCTGTCAGCTGGGTTATTTTAAGCCACTCAACATTCCAATGATCGTCAATTCCTTTGGTTACAATTTTTCACCATCGTCATCGTGATCATCTCGAATACAAATCGCTTCATATATATGGCATGTTTACTTCCAGCAACTGCATAACATGTTGCCTAATAAAGCGCCTGCGACAATAATGAAAACGCACAATGGATGCCATAGAAGCTTATAAAATCAGGCGCTGCCTTTTTGTTAGCTTAGTCATGCATGGACATAAACACGGCACCAATGCAGGAGGCCACAACGGCCGGTGGCAGGCTGTTCCAGGCGAGGCCGTGCTCCACGAACACGTCCCTCATGACGTAGTAATCAGACAGCCGGCAGCTCCGAAGGGCCGGTCGTCACCGACCTCGTGACGCGCATTCCCAGGGGTGCGAGTAATAACAGCGACCGTCATTTGGGTGCAAGGGTTATTTGGGGCACTGCAGACGTCAAAGTGTCGCGACGCAGAGCAAGGTTAGTTCATGCCTACCGAGCCAAGCGGCTCCACGAGCGGTGTAATGTGATCTTGACCACGCACCCCCTGGCGAATCTCGCCGCGAAATCCTAAACGTTTGAACCCAGCTGATATGACAGGCGGCGGCCATAAGGATTAGGGCGGCCGATGGCAACTATGTCCCAGATTAAGAACCAGCACCGGATGACAGGGAAAATCTGGGCCTCGATTAAGAGTCAACGGATGTTGGGCGCGAGATAACAATGAACTTAATATAAATAACAGGTGAATTTCTCCTTTTTCAGTGATTTGGACATGTCCTAGTTCCAGGATATGTATGAATGTGTAATTAAGAATATATTTTTGAGTAGTTAACGATGCAAGTAAATTGAAATCATTTCAAAATCCAAGTAGTTGTCAATGAAATAAGTAAAATTTGCCTTTAAGCTTCATGTCAACATGCTATTCTGTCATACAGGACAGGAATAGTGCAACCAGAGGCCCATGTGGATCACTGTCACACACATGCATTGCGCTTTTCATGAAAGGCTGGCTAAGTCATGGGACACCAACCTTTATCAAGATAAATATCAGCTCTGTAGAAACACATTAACATAACTGACTTAAAACAATTTTAGCACACCCATTTTCATTAAAATTGTAAGCCTGAATTCAGTGGAAATCAAAATGGCTATACCTTCCATAATAAATTTGCCAGTAAGGTCATTGTGCTAGTGCAATGTGATGGTGGACCATATACACTACCTCAACAGGCAGGGATAGATAAGGGTAACTGAGGCCACGGGTAACTGTGCAATGGTCTGTGCGTTGAATTATGACCAAAATGCACATGTAACTGAATGTCTGAAGAGGACTGTGACCTATGAACCCTCAAACCAGGCATCTGGCCACATCTACATCTCATTGAGTAGCTGTTGTATGGTTGGAATAAATATAGCATTCTTCCAATTCATGTTGAATGGAAGCTGTGACTCTTCTGCCAGGCTTGGCTCTCAACTTCTTTCAAGTATAGCTAGAGCTGACCAAAGCTGACATGCACTCCCAGGGCAGTGTCAAACCCCTCACTCACATATCTATCGTGGCTCACTAATTACATACTTACTTAAATACCTGTGAGCACCACTTTCTGAGTTGGTACCATGGTAAGAGAAGAACCATGGCAGTCATATACTTTTAATCATAACTATCTTCTGTCCATTCCAAACTCTGTCAAACTTCACAGACTGCCTGGAATTAGGCAAAATAATGGTTCTTTTTACAGATATGTCTGAATCCTTGAAATAAGCCTAAGAACCACTCATAAATAATTTAGATATGCATGCACTGATGGAAAAGGTATATGACACCAATGGTCCCTCTCCCCTGACTGAAAAACATGTTTTCTCCAAATATGGCCAGTGTGGCAGCCATATACAGCAACAATTTTCCGTGTATTAATGCCCAATTAAACCTGGGCCCACAAGTGTCATGCATTGTTGCCCACAATTCCACTGCGGCGACAGTATTCCATTAAATCATGGAGTTTAAAGGGAATTTCAAGGACATTTAACCAAAAGCTTCTTACAAATCAAAGCCACAATTAAAAGACTCAGAATCATTTTTTCCTACCCTGTTAAGTTCTGCATACCACAGCAGGCCTCACTGGACCAATGTTACACAGGCATTCAGTGACAGTGGATGACATCATTGCAGGCTGGCTGTCTCCCACCCAGTTAGGTGGAAGAGGCCCTCTCCTGGACACCCCATACAGTGCACTAATAGTTGAAACGTCATGATAGAAAAAACTACCGACACCAACCAAATGCAAAATTTGATTTATAGGCATTCATGCAATCTTATACAACTTTTACCTCACATGAAATATGATTAACATGTGACAGTAAGTGCCATTGCAGAACAAAAAATGGGTACATACTCCAGCCTGCAGAAGTGTTTATAGTAGTACTCTGACGGTGTTGATGCGTTCAGGCTTCCATCAATGGTCATAGGGGTTAGATCTCTACCAATAAGCATCAAATCTTCGGGCGGAACAAATCGAATCTAGGGCCAAATTGAAAATTCATTGTTGAATTTTCAGGTCCACAGCACAGAAAACATAAAATACACCAAGTTAGGGCCTAAAAGGTCACG